TTTCTTCAACTGTCATCTGTTTAACTAGTCAGAATACTAAGAACAAGGTTGTCATGGATAATTGAAATCTATTGAGAACGTATACATTTAACATTGCATTTTCATTTTAAATTATTTCCTTCATGCTTTGAATCAAGAACATTTAAAAGGACAACACTTAATTTTAATTTGCTTGTTAATTTTTATTGTGCAACTTTGAAGATGTCAGTAAGTGGCAAAATGCCTAAAAGTTGGAGAGCAAAAAAATGAAACAGATGTAAACAGCCTCAATTATCTACAAAGCATTGACTTTCTGATTAATGAAAATCAACTTGACCAGGGAAATCAACCTAATTTTCAGTAGCTTAAAAGTTAGTTTTTTAAAACCTTTTTTTTAATCCTAGCAAGCCATATTGTTAAGAGTTGTGTTTTGGACTTATATAGGCAGGTTTCACATATGTTAACAAGTGGTTGCCTTGGTTAAGATAAACTGGAAATGAATTGCTTATTAATAGGAAAAAGTTTAAAGAGGAAAATGAAAGTTGAAAGCACTTTCTTTGTTGTATGCAGTCCCACACTGACCCAAAATGCACTGTGAAAATATTTTATTTAGATTCCACTTACTGAATAATTGGATAGCAGTGAATTCTTTTTCTTTTATTAGTGGTGCCCCAACCTAGAACTTGTCTCCCATTCAGCTCCACCAAACCAAATCCTAAAAGACCAAACCCACTTCTACTCTCAAGGCATATTCTGGACTAATTCCTATCTGACATGATCCAAAGATTAGTAAAGTCCATGTTGGAATGGATTTTAGCAGTCACTCAACAAAGATAAGCCTTTATTCCTGATTGATTGTCATTATGCTTGAACATTTCCAATGATTTGAGGACTTTTGAATTTATAAAGCAGCCCTATCATTTTTGAAAACTTGAATACAAAGCTGAAACTTGCCTCCCTGTCAGTTCTCTTTTTTGGCTTTGGTTTTGCCTTCTTGAGAACCACACAGTAAGTCCATCATTCTTTGCCCTAGTAGTCTTTCAAATATTTAAATGTAGTTATATTTTCTTCAGATCTTCCCTTCTTTATACTAAACATCCTCACTTCTTGGAGCTTTGCCTCTTATCACATATTTTTAAGATGCCTCATCATTCCTGATTTCTCTTCTCTAGATGCAGCCTTTTGTGAAGTTTTTTTTTTTTTAAATGAAACAATCGGCTGAATAGAGCAGATTTTATCTGATAAGGATCAAGGATTGTAAGACTCTTAACATTCTTACTTTAGATCTAACTTTTTCTTAATGTAGTTTAAGTCTCAATTATTTTGCTTAACACCTATGGTACACCAGCTCATACTAAATGTATACAATTTTTAAATAAAATTTTCCCACTTTAAGTGTTTATTGCCCATCCTGTACTTGTGCAGTTAATTATTGTAAATCTAAAAGTAAGATTTAACTGTTAAACCCTGCCAAATTTGATCTTGCTGCATTTGAATGTTGAGTTTTTTGAGATCATTGAAATCTTGTTTAATATCTATGCTTTCATTATTCCTCCCAGATTGTTTTCAACCACAAATTCAATAAACATGGCTTTGATTGATACATTGCATGAAGAACAGGTGTGGATACCTATGACATGGTACTGGAAATATCTCTGATTTCTGAATACCAATTACTCTAGCTTATACCACACCATCTATCCTTTTCCACAGCCATTCACTCAACAGAGTTTCACACCACCAACAGTTCTAGGCACTGGGAATATAACAGTAAATAAGAGAGATAAGATTTCTACCATTATGGAAAAGCAAAATAAATAAGCAAATTGTGATTTCCCATAGTGATTTGAGAAGAATAAACACAACCAGAAGATAGAGGAGATAGTATGATTTGGGGATGCTATTTTATTTTATTTTTTTTAATTTTTTTAAACGTTTGTTTATTTTTGAGACAGAGAGAGACAGAGCATGAACGGGGGAGCGTCAGAGAAAGAGAGAGACACAGAATCCGAAACAGGCTCCAGGACCTGAGCTGTCAGCACAGAGCCGGACGCATCGCTCAAACTCACGGACTGTGAGATCATGATCTGAGCCGAAGTTGGCCGCTTAACCCACTGAGCCACCCAAGCGCCCTGGGGATGCTATTTTAAATAAATTAGTCCATAAAGACACATCTGAGGAAGTAAATTTTAGCTGGCAACCTTAGTGAAGTAGTATGCTATGTGAAGATCTTGGAGAAGAGTTTTCCAAGAAGGCATAGCAGGTGAAAAGTCTCCAAAAAGACAACAGGATTTCCAGAAAGAAGGAGAGAGGGTGAAAAAAAATGCCAGTGTAGCATAATGATCCAGGGCAGAAAGAAGTGTTAGGAAACAAACCTTAACAATGATTTGTGATTTTATTGTTAATGTGTTGGGAAGCATTTTGAGGATTTTAAGCTGAGAAATAATATGATCCTATTCAACTTTACAAAGAATATTTTGACTGCTATTAACAGAAAGTGTTCTTGTGCCTCAGTAGATAAGTCAGTTAAGCGTCCAGCTTCGGCTCAGGTCATGATCTGGTGGTTCATGAGTTCAAGTCCCACATCGGGTTCTGTGCTAACAGTTCAGAGCCTGGAGCCTGCTTAGGATTCTGTGTCTCCCTCTCTCTCTCCCTGCCTCTCTGCCACTGCACTCTGTGTCTTCTGTCTCTCAAAACTAAATAAATGTTGAAAAGTTAAAAAAAAGAGAAAGTATTAAAAAAGGTAGTAGTAGACAATAGCAAACCATATAAGATGATTTTGCAGTGGTTCAAGCTAGAAACAATAGTGACTTTGACTGTTGGAATAGTAATGGAAGATGTAAGGAGTGCTTAGATTTTGGACATATTTTGAAGGTAAAACCTACAGGATTCATGAGTGGCTTGGATATAGAGTGTGAAGGGAAAAGAAGACTGAGAAACTGGGTGAATTTAATTACCTCTGTTTGTATTCTGGTTTCATATTTGTCTTCTCTTATCAGTTGGACTATACATTCTTTAAGGGTAGGGAACCTTCCTTTCTTTTTCTCTCAAATCACCTAAGTTCAACATATGCAGTGTGTACTTAATGAATTTGTTTTTCTATCATAGGTAGTCTATCTCTGAATCCTCCATTTTCATCCTAATCATTCCTTCTTTGAAATTCAATAATTTCTCTTTATTACTGCTCTTGACACCCTGATCTAGGACTGAGTCATCTAGAAGCTGTATTACCACTACAACTGTCTAACTGATCTTTCTTTTTCCAGACTATCCCTGATCTGATTCAAGCTGCAAATTGATGACCAATTACTTGAAAAATTTGCTTTCAGTCATTCATTCAACAAAAACTTACTGATTTGTCTACTTTGTATCCAGGACTCTTCTAGAAGCCAGGGATATAAAAATAAGACAGACAAAAAAAAATCCTGCCATCATGGAGCTCATATTTGCAATAACTAAAAATAAAGAGCATGTTAGATAGTAAGTGCTATGAAGAGAAATAAAAGAGGAAAGGGAGTATAGGGAGATAGATGAAGTGTTGAGAAGATCACAATTTGAAATAGCATTAGAGTGTAATTTCTTTAAAATTTTAGATATTACTTTTAATGAAGTTACATGACAACAGAGATATGAATCAAATAAGGGAGTAAAGTCAGGCAAAGATCAAAGGGAACAATAGTGCAAGGGTTCTGATGTGGTCATGAGATTAATTTGTTTGAGAAACGGATAGGCCTGTGTGATTTGAAAGTGCGTTAATTGCAGGGTGGCAGGAGGTGAGGACAGAAAGATGGCAAAGGCCAGATCAATTAGGAGTTTCAGACTACGGTAAGAAATTTTCATTTTATAGTATATGTGAATGTAAACCATTGGACATTCTGGAGCTGGGCATGATTTGATTCTCTTTTAAAAAATCATTGAAGCTGCTGTCTAGATTGTGTAGGTTTGAGGTACCCTGCCTTAGGATCTTTAGTGGCTTTTAATAAAATCAACATTCTCTGCCTATTTTCAAATACTTATCCTATTTCCTATCCTATTTCCCCACAAGTCCTCATATATGCCCTCTATTTGCTAGGCTGATTTTATCACGGGTTTAATTTTTGTCTATTCCTTCCCCTTTAAGACAGTGCTTAAAGTTCTCTCTTATCCACCATTCAAGAACTATCTCAAGTTTCAATTACAAAATAAAATGCTCCCCCAATTGTCATCACCTCGCTGTTGTTTCCAGTCATCAAATGATGTATATCTTGTCCATAGTTGATAATTGAGCACCCAATAATGTACTTAATTTTAGTGTTGTGAATGTTTAATGTGTGCTAATCTTGTCTTCTCAATGATGTTATAAGTTCTATAATAGCATAGGTCCAGTAAATTGTACATCTCTTATGGCACCCAGAAAATTTGGGGGGTGTTAACTGTGTAACATATGGCTTGAGTTGTTTTTTATTTTTCTTGCAATGGTGTAGCTGTGACCATGCAACTAACTTCTGGCAGAACAGGATTGATGTTAGGTGAACAGAAGTCATAATTTTAATTTGTTTTAGTTGCCAGAGTCAACCGGTCACATAAAACAGTACACTTGCTCTTATTGACAAATTCCAAAAGCTTGATAGATACCTTCTTGATTTTACTAATACTGAATATATGCATGCCAATTGAATACTGACCACAAAAGACTATTCCTGTATGTCATCATTTGATTTTGGCATGCAACAATTCTGCTGAAAGCGAATCTGAAGTTGGAAGACCAGACAGCACCTGCTCAAATGGTGGCATATTAACTATTATAGTCACAGGGATGCTGGGTGTTCACAGCTATTCAGGAAGGGAAAGATACAGAAAGGCCTGGCCTTGGACACAGCTGATAGCAGGGAAGAGGCAGCCCCACTGCAGGCAGCTATCTTTCCTCCCCCCTCCCCACTCTTGGGTTCTGGGCTGAGGCCTGGGACTGTCCGAGCTGATCTCGGGCTCCCATTGGTCGCTGTCTTTTGTGACGTCACAATCATGATGAGAATTGATGATCGGACACGCTGATTTCATTGTCTGAGGAGGCTGTAAGACCCAGGAAAAATCTTGCTGAATCTGCCTGCCCAGGCACTGGCCTGATTGGGGATCCTCCGATCCTTCCAGTGACCGCACCACGCTGCGAGGTAAGTACCCAGTCTGGGTGGGTGTGAAGGGTGAAAGACGATGAGCAAGACACCGAGCTAATGCTTTGCCCAGTAGGGAGCTTATAGGTTCAGAGGCCTACAGAGGCTGCCAACAAATTTGCGGCGGCTTTTGGGGAGCCAACTGTCTCTAGTTTCCAAGCAAAGGCTGGCGGCAGCGTGAGGTTAAAAAAGAGCTGAGGATAGGGATATAGCAGGTATTGCCAGAGTGCAAAGGATCTTGCTCCTAGAGAGGGCAACGTTGGGGATGCGCTTCTGCCTTCGGAGTAGGAGGAAGTGGCACATTTGCCTCTGAAGAAAGGAGGCGGGGGCGGGGGATGAATTCTACCACTACTAGATTTCACTGGACAGCCGATTTCTCACAGCCCTACTCAAACTCACTGAGTGCTGCGCTTGCGCATTAAGAACATGTGGGGGAGGGGAAGGGGGGAGTTCGTGGCGAGAAGAATAGACGTAGAGTTTGCGCAGGCGCCTTTTCGGTTTCGCTGGAGGAGGTGGCGCTGAGCTCTGTCTGGGCTGGATATAGAAAGAGCTGCGGAGTTGGCCCTGTGATATTTCAAGTGCTGATTGATGGGGAGGGGTGTGCCAGTTATTTTAAATCTGGCTTATTGGGCATACCCACACCCCAAATGGGTCTGATGAATTTAAGAAAGCAGATTCTTAATCTACAGATACCAGGTTTGTAATAATTGAAAGAAGTCGGGAGAGGAATCTGTGGAGTAGAAATTACTGAGATGAGAAACCTTTGGAAGAAAAAAAAAACCCACTAATTATTCAAATGAATCCAACTTTTAATCTTCAGTGCTAACTTTGATTTGAGGTACCATTCAATGATTTTGAAATTTAAACTCTTTGGAGAGACTCAGAGTGAGACCCATTGTGGAGAGTCAGAGTAAGAAATTTAACTTTCTTGTCTTCTTTTTTCTTCTTTCTTTCTTGAAACGGTTTCTTATAAAGCCTCGGTCTCCCTTTCAGGTTGGTGCTAAGATTTTCTTCTTTCTTCCTGTTTCTCTGCTAAAACCACCAAAGTCAAATCCTGTTTGAGAGACCCTTTCTAACTCTCCCTTTTTGGGAGGGGCAATATTACTCAGCAATTGTGAGGAAAAACCTGCCTGTTTGTTCTTGGTGGAAAAACTGTACAGTAGTGTTATTAACTCTCGACTGTTTCATAGAGAAATCTGATTTTTCCCATCTATTTTTTATAGTTAAGGGGTTGTCAAGTCCTGGGAAATTTTCTTTTCAAAGGTCACTATTATAATTCTTCCTTTATCCTACAATATAAGCTATCTTCACCACCCATCCAGTCACTCCAGGAACCTCCTAGCCAGCTTTCACTTGTGCTCCAAATCCCTAATTTATTCTGCCAGACTAATGGTCAGTGAGCACTTCTTTTACCAAGTCATTTTCTTCACCAAAATATTCTTGGCTCTATTTTTTTTTTTTATTATTGTTTCAAGCCCAACTCCACTTGGATTGCAAAAACTTCATGATCTGGCTTTATTGTACCATAGGAGTCTTATTTTACTTAATTCTTCAGTGTATAATTTCTTCTTAATGTCCTTTGGACAATCTATCTCCAGAGCTTTGCTCCTTGCTCACCACCATTCCCTTCACCCAGGATGCCCTCTCTTCTGCCCATTCAGATCGTACCGAATTTGAAAACTCAACTCAATTTATACCTCTCCATAAGTGCCTTCCAAGTGTAACCCAACCATCATTAAGCTCACCTTTTCTAGAACTTCTACATCAGTTCTTATATTTGTCACTTTCTTATAGCCTGTATTATTGTCTTATTTGGGTTGTGTGCATGTGTGTGTGTGGGCCTAAACTTTTCAAGTGGATTTTAAACCCCCTCTTAAGGGTTGGGACCATGCCATCTAATTCTTTATCTTCTGCCTACAGCACCTGGATGATTATTGGAAGTATCTATAACCATATATTGTATTTGTATCCCAATTTCTTGGGTAACAAAGTAGTATTATTATAGAGAAAACTGTATATATGTGAAAATTTATTCATCATTGCTTAGGCAAGGGACCCTCCAGTGACTGAATAAACTTGAGCATGAGTCAGAGAAAAGGCAATATGGACATATCTATATAGTGGGTGGCCTCCAAATATATACTGTCTTCATAAAAGACCAAGGGGACATTAACCCAGAAGTGTTTCTATCTCTAACTTTCTCAGTTTGAAAAATACTAAGACATTTCCCATTTTCTGTACTTCTCTTTTATGACATTACATCATGTATGTTCTGTTAAAACCTACTAGTTATTTACTGTGTTTTATTGCAATATATCATACAGTTGCTGATTTGCATTGACTGTCACTAATAGTTTTCATTTGTACCTCTGTTAAATCAGAGCTAATCATTGTGATGGCTATCATAATTGTTATCATATAACATATCACTTGCCACTTTCCTACCCCTTCGGCTTCAAAGTGCATTGTTTCATGGAGCTGAGTTTTATTTGATACACATTGTTTAATATAGAGAATTTCCACAGATTTCACTTTGGCTGCTGCTTCACTTTGAGGTACCATGCCAAACAATATCATATGTGGCTTAAGAACATGGATAATAATCATTCTAGAAGTGGATAGTAATCATTCTATAAGGGTATTATAACCTATAAATTTAAAAATATTTGTCATATATCATTATGAATGAACTGTGAATGTTATTTACTATAAGGGAAAATCCTTTGTCCTTGACTTTTTCTCTTATTACCTATATTATGTAAATTCCCTCAAAGTGTTTTAGCTTGCAACCATTTCATAGTAATTAATAAGACTTACCTAGATATTCACATATAGACCAATAGACTAAACTGTTCAAAGGTAGGACACTCTAGATAGAATGTAATGCTTAGGAATATGTGCCAATTATTATTATTATTATTTTTTAATGTTTATTCATTTTATTTTATTTTTAAATATAATTGATTGTCAAATTGGTTTCCATACAATACTCAGTGCTCATTCCAAAAAGTACCTTCCTCAATGCCCATCATCCACTTTCCCTTCTCCCCCAATCCCCCATCAACCCTCAGTTTGTTCTCTGTATTTAAGAGTCTCTTATGGTTTGCCTCCCTCCCTGTCTGTAACTTTTTTTCCCCTTCCCCTCCCCCATGTTCTTCTGTTAAGTTTCTCAAGATCCACATATGAGTGAAAATGTATGGTATCTGTCTTCCTCTGACTGACCTATTTCATTTAACATCATAACCTCCAGTTCCATCTGCGTTGCTGCAAATGGCAAGACTTTATTTCTTTTTCATTTCCAAGTAGTATTCCGTTGTATATATAAACCGCATCTTCTTTATCCATTCATCAATTGATTGACATTTAGGGTCTTTCCGTAGTAATTTGGATATTGTTGAAAGTGCTGCTATAAACATGGAGGTACATGTGCCCCTATGCATCATATGCTGCCGATTTTAGAAAACATATAAAAAAATAAAAGTGTGGTATTTGTGTTTTAAGGTTTATTTTACAATTCCTATCTCAATGAAAGGATGGCATTGGACGTTGTCATTTAAGTTTTAGTTTGAGCTGCAGGAGATTTTATAATGATGAGCCAATCTCCCCATTTTACAAATGAGGAAGCTGAAGTATAGAGAAGTGTAGTACCTTAGCAGGATTAATAAATGGTAATATTTATTAAACACTTAATACCAGGCACTGTGCTAACAACTTTATATGTTATCATATTTAAACCTCACGACATCCCTATGAGATAGTTTCCAGTATTATTTCTCATTTTACAAATGGGAAAACAGTGGCTTAAAGTGGTTGACTTCCCTGGGGCCACACAACTATAAAATGTCACAGAGTTCAAACATTGGTCTGTTTTGACTCTTTTTTAAAAAAATGTTTATTTTTGAGAGAAAGACACAGAGTGCTAGCAGGGGAGAGGCAGAGAGAGAGGGAGCACCAGAATCCGAAGCAGGCTCCAGCCTCTGAGCTGTCAGCACAGAGCCCGTCACAGGGCTTGAACCCATGAACTGTGAGATCATGACCTGAGCCGAAGTTGGATGCTCAACCAACTGAGCCACCCACGAGCCCCTGTTTTGACTTTTAATCATCAAACTATACTTGACCAAAGTAATATGCAATGAATCTTTGGCAGAGCTTTAGCAAGAATCTGAATATCTGGAGTCCCAGCTTAATTGTGTGTGTGTGTGTGTGTGTGTGTGTGTGTGTGTGTGTGTGTGTGTTTTATATCATAATGTTTTCCATGAACAACATACTACTTGTATAAAGTCGCTGATTTCTAAGCCTGACCAAATGGTGTATACCTAAATTTCTTTTTAGGTATTTTACTAAAACATACTTTCTTGGTCTTGATTGAAAAATATGGCATTAAATTTTGTATGAAATATATATTTAAAGATATTTAATTAGTTCTGCTTTTAAAATTGTATTGTACTTCCAGAAGGAATTATATATTGTGTATTGTTACCCCCAAACACAGTAAAAATACTTGAATTGTTGATTTTAATTTTATAGTAGAGTTAGCTAAACATGAAATTAGTGCTGTCTTAATATACTTGTATAGAGTACATTATATCTAGGCATAGTGGTTTGGAAGTAAGGAGTGAAAATTCTAGAGAGATATATTCTGCATAAGAAGGGAGCTGGAGAGGTTAGCATATTCAGAAGCTGTAACTAACACTATGAGACCTTTCTAGTATGTAAAATTTCAAGACAACAGACTGAAACCTGTCTGTGGAAGTGGAGTCATCCATATTCCAACTAGTAGCAAGATTTCCTAGATTAATTGGATATCTAGGTACATGGCAACTAAATAAATGAGATTATATTATATCAATTAAATGCTATACTTTACATTTGTCATCCATAAAGAAATCTGAAATAGAAGCTGTCCTACCTTCTTGGTCTCCTATTGTTTTATAACTAGAGTTATGTTCGAATTGGGTTGATCCTTAGAAGCTTTAAAATGGAGGGGGATGGAGATTTGG